TGTGCACCTTACCTCCCTTTTTTGCGCTATTACTTTATGTCCTATGTACTGTACTACTGTATATTTTTTTATATTTCTTACACTGTTTTTGCACTGCTATTGGAGTTGGCTTTTAATAATCGTTCTCATCAAACATGTTACAGCCTATATATTGCTTCCCTGTATTTCATGGGTCTATTTTTGACCGATAGGAACGCCTTGAGGGGAAGAAGAAGGGTGAGGAGGAGAAAGACGATGTCCCACAGCTCTCCCGCAAGGACTTGGAAATGGCAGAGAAAGTGTCTAAGTATAATGTAAGTGGTGTTATTTCATTATTTTTATTCCCTAGATGTCCCCAGTGTTCACGTTAAACGCTAAAAGTTTCAATACTCACTCCCTCGTATCAGGAGACTAAACGTGCTGAGTCCCTGATGACTTTGCACACAAAGACGATGAAGGAAAAAGCAAAGGAGAAGGCTGACATACCAGTGGAGAGGAGACCATTCGATCGGGATGCAGACCTGCAGGTGAATCGCTTTGATGACGCCCAGAAGGAACGGCTGCTGAAGAAATCTCAGGAACTGAACACACGGTTCTCCCATAGCAAGGACCGAATGTTCCTGTAATCAATTGTAAAAATGTAAAAATGTGTTGGAAGACATCCAGTTACAGTATGGACTATTTTTAGTCGGATACTGTTACACAAATGGAGAAGTTGATTTTATGTTGGTCTCTGAGGTAAACTAAACTGTACTGAACAGACTATAAAGCCATGGCAGACAATGCTACAGCCGCCAGTGGAGCTTTTTTAAAGTTGAAATGGTATATATCTACTTACATTTTTAAAGGAGACACTGTATTAGGGCTGCTGATATATGTATATATATTTTGATATAGGTCTTGTTAGGTTATCTTTTGACATTTGGAAAATCACCTGTTAGTCATGCTGGACATTGAAAGTCATTTTCATCTCGTAAACTTAACTAACTCCAGAACTATAGTGTTCGACAAGGACATAGTAGTTTCTTAGTATATAGACATAATTAGCTTTATGATTTATAATGTAAAGCAATCCCTGAACACAATCCCAATGACAAATTATAAGATAAGATAAGAGATAATAGTCCCACAATGGCGAAATTCCAATAAATAAACTTTGCCCAAGTGTGTTTCTAATCACAAACGCTAAATAAATGGAGATACTACAATGTTGGCTTGTTCTGGGCTGCATTAGATTATCTCCTTTTGATTTAAGAAGTTTTAACCAATATTTAACGAGCCTGTCAAAGTTCAGACTGTTATTCTTATTCATTAAGCCCCAATATAGTTTGATGTTGGAAACAGTGCTTTATATTAAACCTGACTGCTCTTTGGCCAACCAGATCAATAAAATCGGTGTCCCTTATTGCTCAACCCAGCTAGTAAAGTTGCCCTTTGTGAAATTGTGATTGATTTATTGAGTTTTTTGTAAATACTTTTGGCACAGATTGCTGTAAAACGCATTGTTACTCTGCGTTTTCCTACAGCTTTACAATCTTTCATGTGTCCAATAAGTTGTTTTGTGTTTTTTTAAGTTGATTAAACAGTATTTTTTAAACCTTTTATGTCTTTTCTTTTTCATGGATTCTTATTTAAGAGCGTTTGGGTCACATATTCATCAGAAGTGAAGGACGTTCAATTGACATGGACCTTCCGAGTCGCCATACTTCTGTATTTCTTTTACGCATGCGTGTGGGGGTTGCGTTGATAAACTAGCAGAAGCATCATTTTAAAACATGTCAGAGAAAGGAGAAGTGGATTTAACTGGTGCCAAGCAGAACACCGGCGTGTGGCTTGTAAAGGTGTGTATATACCATCTTTTAATAACGTCACTTTATGTTATATAGGAACAGTTAGTCATTTAAACACGAAGGCTAGCAGTAACGTAGCTTAGCATCTACCGCTACAATGAAAGAAAAGCATTGAAGCTAACGATGGCTAAGTTCACAAACTCTTAGTGAAGTTAAACTGGTCACAACTACTCATAATACGATTATTTTAGATGCACAACACATTAGAATATATTGGTTTAACTACACACCATCGTCTAACACAACCAAAGTACACAAAAAGTGGCCAGAGTACGCAGTGATAGCGATAGGTAGCTGACAACTACAACTGTATGTTTGCAACATGCAGCTGCCACAGTCATTTGTTTTCCTAATGGTGGTAATGTAGTTTAATCGTGGAAAATCAATGTTTTAGTGCCCACATTTGCAGCGATGTGAATGCATGCGCCTTCAGACTCACTCAGATATAACTTCATTCCAACAGCATGTTAAAAAAAACAAACCTTTTTGAATCGTCTTTACATCGATTTGGGGCAATTGGCGACGAGAAATGGCAGCACATAAAAGGGATCGCTCCTGTATTTATGTTAATATCAGGTCAAAGTGAAAGCATCCATCTTAAAATATACTTAATATGTCTCTTGATGCAGGTGCCCAAGTACCTCTCTCAGCAATGGGCAAAGGCGACTGGCAGAGGAGAGGTCGGGAAGCTCCGAATCTGCAAGTATGTGAAATAACTGAGCATTGATAAAATAGCACAAACCAGCCTGCTGTGTTTAAGCAGTTATCTTATACAAGCAGTGTTTTGTTGTTGCACCATTATTACTGCATTTCAAATGAGACAGAATAACCTGTTATGCTTGCCAATCAACTAATTCTAATGTCGTTAATTATTCTTTTCTCCAAGGAAAGGAATCCAAGGAAAAGCAGAGGTAAGTGATGTTTGAAAGAAGTACAGTGCATCCTGCCGATGGACATCTGCTTGCAACTATTTGCAATTCACAAACAGATTCTCACAATTCTTAAAATATAATAATGCTTGGTGATTCTAAGTACTGCACCATAAGTATTGGACTGTCAAGAATAGAACAAGTAATTATATGTTTGCATGTTCTGTTATACTGCTGTACGGGACACAGGATAATGAAAGTAACAGTCAAGAAGTGGGCTGAAAAGAATCCATTTCTCTTTCCAGGTGTCTTTCACTTTGAACGAAGAGCTGACTGTGATTGAGGGCATAGAAGACAAGACGGTGTCGGCGCCTCGCGAGCACCCATTCACCATGCAGTCAGTGGGAGGTCAGACGTTGGCGGTCTTCACCGAGAATTCATCAGGTGAGTTTGTAATTCCATCTTCCATCTGCCATCTGCTGTCGCCTCTGCTGCGAGATGAGGTGCTCGTAACAATCCACTAATTGCAGTATTCGCTTTCTGTTACGTGAAATATCTGTTTGTACTAGAGCAGAGAGGTAAGTTCTGTGTGATCAGGTGATGGAGGCGCCCATCCTGCTACTCTTTATACAGCTTGCTGTCTTCATAATCAGTCTTTCCCTTGCCTGCCCTGCTTGTTTCTGTGTGTTTTGAACTCACAGAGTGTGAGGTTGTCCACATGCCTTAAATAGTACATAAAAGACATGTGCTGCTCACAGTGGATAAGTGAACACTCAATGGGAAAACAGAAGAGAGCTGGTCTGTTGAAAATGTGTCTTCCGACCAGTCTGATCTGTGTTTCTGTCTTTGTGTAAAGGAATTTTAGCTTCAGTGTTTGATCTTCTGTCAGTCATTTGTGTGTGGTTTGACCTTTTCAGTCCAATGCCAGTCACTTCAACATATTGTGTATCTGAACAGGCACAATGGCCCCATTTGGAATTCATTTAATTTAACATAGAGTAGATCATTATCAACACAAATCATTGCTGAATTTGGAGTTGATTTAATTTCTGCATGTGTTTCTTTGATTTGGTTTGAGCCTCGTCTTCCCTTTTTAAATGTTATGTAGGTGTTTTGTTGCTGTGGATGCTGGTGAGCTTGTGCTACTGGGCTTAATTTGGGACGCCAAAGTGTGTGTGTGTGTGTGTGTGTTGGGGGCTGCACAGTTTAAATGGTGTATATATCTACTTTTTATTTTAGACAATGTTAACTGTTTAACTTTAAACTGGAGGAATACTTTACAGTAGTTTCATGTGAGAATATATTCAGTATTTGTGCAGCCCTGTTATGGATGTGTATTAATGGTGCGACATGGTATCTGTGCTCACTTGTTGTAAGGGCATGCTTGCTTCGCTCATTCGCACGCGTGTGTGCTTGTCAGATTCTGCCGAGAAGCTCTGCGTGTTCGAACGTTTTCGTGTGCGACTAAACCCTGGGTGTGGTTCTTATTGTTCGATTCCCTCCTCCCTCCGTCTTCCATCCCCTGTATTTTCATGTTTACCATCCCTCCCTCCCTTCCTGTAGGCCAGTCAGAAGAGAGATCTGATGGCAGCAGCTCAGGTGCGGGGGCGGGGGCAGGTCCAGGTGAGTCCTCCGTTTCGCCAGCGAGTGACAAAATTGCACCACTAGGAATCAGGCACACCGAGTGTCTGTTATTTGTATTAATAAATGGCATTTGTAGTATCACAGTAGTACCCCATATACATGCTTTGGAAGATGCATGTATATCAAGACTGTAGACACAATGTCCTCATGTAGCGCCCAGTTTTGGCCTCTTCTCTTTTTGAGTACAGTTGTACAATTCACATGGAGCTTGTGCACTCAGTTCGGGTGGAAATAAGAGTGTGTGGTCAGAGTGGTCGACACTGTGCTTGAGCCGAGTGCTACCGGCTCGCGTTGATGGTTGCAATGCCAGTCCAGTTGGGACATTGTATCAGCAAAAATAATTAATGTCTGACTATTGTAAATGTTAGTTTAGATCTACTCTATGTACGTTAACAAGTTTCCTTCCAATCTATATGTAAATAAGGTAAGCCTCTCTGATCAAGTGTCACTTTCTTAATGATGTGTTGTTAATGAATTGGGGATTTGATAGATTTTCTTTCACTGGTGAAACTAATAAAGCTGTATATTATATGCATATAAATGCAAATGCACAATAGCATATAAACAGCTTCATATGGTGCATAGAAAGAAGCTGTATGACAAAACGACAAATCAATTTTGAGATATTGCTATTAACAGTAATGATGATGGAGTGCTTATTTACAGTATGGATATAGATACCTCCTGGTTCAAACATTTTACATTCAGTAAGTGAGCCATGGTGCTGATGATCAATGTAGATAACTTAAAGGACTTGAAAGGGACAGTGTGATCTCCATCCTGTAGTCAATAGGCCTTGGAAAAGTGTGTATATGTTTTTAAGAATTACAGAGAAAAGGACAGTTGTACTGAATTGGTAAAACATGCTTTGACTGAATCAGAATTAATTGTGGGAAGAATAAAAGCAATAGCACACTCTATTATGCAGTTTCAGAAATTCTTTCTTTCAACTTTAGGAGAGAGCCTGGACTGAACTAGATTCATGTTACTAGCAAAAGCAAACTCTATTTCTTCAGTGTATTTTTTTATTTATTTTTCTCTAAACACATTACCCAGTCATTCTCTAACAGTGTCATCTTTCATCCCTTCTCTCTTACACACATTCAACCGCTCCCTCTGCCTTATTTATGAAGTACACAACTTCGAAACTACAAAAATGCATTGAAACACATGGACTTCAATTGAGATTTTAAATAACTCCCTTCTTTTTCAGATAAAATAGCCTTGGAGGGCGTGGTAGTGCAGAGAGCAGAGTGCAGGCCTGCTGTTAGTGAAAGCTATATGAGACTGAAGAGGTGAGTATTTTTTTAAATGGTGCACACACACAAGTCATAAGTCTGATAAGTCTACATAATCATGTATGTATGTCTTGAATTGTATGTGCACATATGCATGTCATTGTTTTCATGTGTTACATGTAAGTATAATCCATTTTTATCATTTTAATTCAGATGTTGAATCTTTTTGAATTTTAAACATGATGTAATCACATGTAACAGTATTAATTGCAAAGCTATTGTTATTTATCATACAGGTGTTAACTCTTTTTTTCCCCATGTCCCTCAGTGTACACAGTATATGTCTTATATTGTACTTGGCAAGTGAAGTCATTTTCATCGTCTTAACAGGTTACAAATTGAAGAGTCCTCCAAGCCAGTCAGGCTGTCACAACAGTTGCAAAGTCCTGTCACCAACAACTACAAACCTGTGGCCAATCATACTTCCAATGTAAGGAATCCTATACAGCATTGTCTTTTGTCATTAATCTACTTCAAAACACAGTGTATTGGTGGTAGTAGTCGCCATAAATTTAAAAGACAATGGAGATATTGTTGTTTTTAACAAATTAATACTAATCATGTATACTTAACATACTACAACATATTGTTTGTTTGTAAGGTTTAGGTCTATATGTGATACCTGACCTCTGTTTACTTTTTGCTGCAGCTTGAGTATGAGAGGAAAAAGAAGGAAGAGGGCAAGAGAGCAAGAGCTGACAAACAGCAGGTGTTGGACATGCTGTTTTCTGCTTTTGAGAAGCACCAGTACTACAACATCAAAGACCTGGTGGATATCACCAAACAGCCTGTGGTAAGACTAGAGGGCAACATGAGGGCTTTTATCATAGCCCTGTGTTTTATACTGACTTATTTCAAACAGTCTTCTCATATTTGATCTTTTTCTTCTCCCAGATTTACTTGAAGGAAATCTTGCGTGACATCGGCATCTACAACGTGAAGGGAACACACAAGAATACCTGGGAGCTCAAGCCTGAATACCGACATTATCAAGGCGAGGAAAAGACTGACGAATAGTCCCTGCCACTTCCAAGGCCGATACAACACCTCTTCGTTTCCCCACCCCCCCCTAGACCAGGCCTTGATTGGACCTTGGGAGTTCTCTCCTGTTCCTCACATCAGGTCTCTAAACACACTGGATGATGAGATCAAGCAACGATTGAGGAGATTGTATCTTATTTTGTAGGAGAGGAGAAAAAGGGGCAATGGGAAACAAATTGAGGTTTTCTGTTTGAGTGTGTGCCATCTCTTCCCGATGTGGTTTCTGTCACAGCAGACCCTCAAGGTAAAAGCCCCCAGTATTTAAATTAGTTGTTCTATCCATCAGAGGCCCAGGAGAAACATTTTACAGAGCAAAAGAATCAATAATTAAGTCTGGTTCTTAACACTGAATTATGTTTTGACCAGTATATCCAGAGGTAAGGGGCTTAATGTTTAAAGGATAAACCTAAAGAAGGATGTGACAGAGGCAATGGCTCTCAACACTGAATACGTTCTAGACATTTTGACTTGTTTTTTGAAATTATGTAATGCTTTAAGAACACAACTGAGCAGGTTTTCTGCACCATGACGTGGGAGGAAAAATTCAGCTTGAAGGTGCATTGACAAATTTGTCTGGTACTATTGCTGTAATCCCTACTGAATTTGTGCTGAGTCCCGGCATTAGGCTTTCACTGTATTTTTAACTTTTACATGTGATACACAATAAATGTTTCAATACAAAAGTTTTACTTTGTACTAGAAAAGCTTCAATTGGAGGCTTTAGTTTTCAGTCTTCCTGTAATTGCCCCTAAACCATATTTAAATGGATTTCTTTAGTCCCTGTGTTATTGCTACCCAAGACAATACTGATACCACCTTGAGCTGTAACTACATTTAAGTCTGGTTGAAAATATGACCCCTTCAAGTGGTCTCATGGCAGAATAGTTGTGCATCTAGATAACCAGCTAGTTTCCTTATACCGCTCGTCATAACATGCATTAATGACACTCAAACCTTCAGGAGATGAAACGTTTATTTCTTTGAATACAAATTGGTATCACACATTGCCTGTACAGCATGCCAATTCTTACTATGGATGTACAATGTGCAAGACAACACGGCTGGCAGATAATAGCCAGTGATCAGATCCCACACAAGTATCCATTCATCATCTATACCCACTTAATCTTAAAAAATAATTTTAAAAAGTCACAGGGGCCTGGACTTGATCACAGCTGACATGACACTGATGCTCACACGCAGGCGAGTCACCTGTTAACGTGCATGTCTTTGGACTGGAGAAACACAGAGAGACCATGTGAACTCTACACAGTCCACAGCCCCACCCACAAATAGAAATTTTAGAGACAGTTTGTTTTGCTTTGAGAACAGAAAAGAATGTTCCACTGGTACAATCTTCATCAGGTGCTTTGCTCATTACCTGCAAGAAAAAGATGCAACACCACATTAAATTCACAACTAGTTGTGCCTTCAGATCTCAAGACTCAGCAAGTAAATGGCAAAATGCTTCGATAAGCTGGCAAATAGGCATTTCCAGACCAGAACATTAGATTGAAGTACTGATGGCAATATCCAGAGTCACAAAACAGTCACCTGTGAATCTGACCTTGGGAAGCTTGCATGTATTCCTCAATTCAATCTGCGCTGCTATATAATGTAGCAGTCAGAAAGCGCGAGGAAAGTTCAGTTTAGCATCTCTATGCAAACACAGAAGCCAATGAAGACTGCTTCGGGTCTATCAGTGGATGCAAATTCAAATAAACATTACAAGTGCTGACCTGCCAAGTGTAACCAAGACTGTTTCACAGGGACCGTTACAGCGGCTGCAACATCTTCTGTCCGGTTTTTTATCCCCAAGCAACCTTGAGACTGGAAAAAGGGAGAAAAACCATTAAATTCAGGTTCTTTAGAGAATATTGCATGGTATATAAGCACATATTAAAAAGTGCTTTATGTTAACGATGCAATATGAAGCAGTTCAGCTGATTAACAGGAGCTTCAAATTGGCATCTGACAGTTTATCCTCCCATATTCAATCCGAGCCACCATGGAAAAGAGGTGGGCAGAAAGCGCAGGGACATTTAATATTGCATCTGAAAAATTAAAACCCGGGATATCTCACACCAGAGAGCCCAGGCTGTCAAAGATGCAGCTTGCGACCAGGCTAAAAGGCTTGATCAGTAATACAAGTAGTACTTAAGCATATGTCTCAACAAAATACACATTTTTACATACATTCTCACACATGCTTTGACGCAGATGGTAGCCGTCCTTTCTGGAGCTCCTTTTTCCTCAAGTAATTATCCTGCCACGGCAGACTGGTGCTGCGACTGCACCATCACTGGGACTTACTGCCGAACCTCAAACATAGCCATCATCCTCCATCTGGCTCGCACAGTTGTCCACCACATGGCACATGATCCACTGGGAAAAGAGTGGAGTAGAGGGGTTATTTGCCAGTGCTGCCTATATAAAGCAGAATTCAGTCAACACTGAGGATTTAAACTATGGTTTCTAGAACCGTATGTGCATTTCTAATATAAACAGTATACCCACAATGCATAAAGATGACTTGCAAAAAAAAAAAAATATATATATAAATCCACAGACAATGATCTAAATTCTTGAACTCATTAGTAGTGCTATATCAGCTTTAAATATTAATTTTTAAACGTATGGCGTTTGTTCATATGTTCTTAAATTCTTGACAAGGTAGTTACTGATCCAGTGTATAACATTAGTGGGGATTATAACCAGTGTGCGAACTATACCATGGCTTTCAGGGGGGAGCTCACCTTCTTACTGACTATGTGAGTGTAAAACTTATATAAATTATTAATAGCGATGCGGCATACAGAGTGAGTGGGACAAAAAGACCTCTGCGTTAAAGTGAGTTAAGTTTATGAAATTGCAATCAAAATGGGGTTGCAAGAATAGCATGCCTGCATGTATGTTTATTTGGTATTATATTATTTATTAGGGTAGCTCATGTCATATTGAGAGGAGCAAAGCTTCCCCTGTAGTTTGCACCTTGATTATAACTGAGAAACAAGTTATCCTTGATATTTGTTTAGCCGGTTACTTGTTAACTGCTCGCCTAGTCATTTAGTAGTAAGTTTAGGTTATTGGTTACATAACTAACTGTGCAAGCGAACACATTGTCAAGCGAAATCAGGCAAACCACTTACGCTAGTGTTAACATAATATGATAACACTATAGTTAACCTCTTAAAACCGTGATATTGAGACATATAACGATAGATAGAGTTTGCTATAAAACTAACTAGCTGGATGAGGGTCTGGTAGTAATTAGGCACACTTGCTGTAATGTGTCCAGTTAACCTTAAGGTATTGGACGTTATATTGACTGTCTACTTCGCCATCTTGCTGCTAACTACACCGGTTAACGTTATAATGCGTGTATCTCCGAAGAGTTATCCGAAACTGAGTCCGACGGTGACACAAAATGGCACCAGCTCATTTACACGTGTCCACGCGTTGCGGTATTTAACACTCAAACACTGAACGCTTTAACGTTAAATGTCACTTTAGTTTCTCTTAACGGGGCGAGAAGTTAAATACTTACAACAGAGCACGGCCGTAGAGACTGAACCGGAGTTGTTCTGCATTATATGTTTAAGATGACTCTCCATTCTCTGTCCTCTTTCAGAGCGAACAGTCGGTGAAAGGACCGACGAGACGGTCGCTTCCACGTTAAATAGGTTACCGGTTATGGCTCATTTCCGCCCCCTAGATTATGAACTTTAATTTATACTGTCGCCCCCTGGTGTTCACACTTGGAGATTCCTCGTATTTATATTTACAGAAATTTTGTAAGACTTGTTTTTTTTTTTGTCTTGGTCAATGTTCACTCCGATTACTTTCCTCACACGTTTTGTGGTTCTTAGTGTATTTACACATAGTTCCGATAATTTACAGGAAATAGACATACATCTTAAAACAAGGACAACAAAGCTGAGCAAAGGTATACACATGGACATTTAACTATACAAATAGGTGAAAAAAGATGCGTATATTAGTAAGCCCTATATATAAAAAGCATCAATGGAGAAAGATGCAATGTCTATAATTTATAACAAAAAAAAAAATTCTGTAAATTGTAAACAAGGTAGTACAAGGGTTAAAAGTGCTGGAATAAATACTGAGTGATTAACAGGTTACTTTATATATATGAAGTAGGTGCATATGTACAGTATATGTATGTCTAAATACAGTATACAGCGTGCTTACATTTATATTTGACACTAATGATGATGCAGATGATATATAAATGTTAAAAAAACAGTGCGTATTAAAATATATCATGTATTATATGTAGGTAATGACACTTAATGGAATATATATGCCGCAATCAATAACCCCTTTCTGTAAGTTAAAAGGGTTACATTCAAACATTAAATCATTAAGGGCACATCAAATGTGGAGCATAAGCCAAATACGCATGTGCCCGATGCGCGCCACAGACTCCTCTTCCAACATTGAGTGAGTTGACTGAGGAGGTGCAGCACTTCTTAATTGGACTCCGCGAGCTTGAATGGTCTTCCATCAGCTTCCTGTGGATTCATGTGAAGAAATGCAGGCATCAAACAGGACTTAAGAACAGGTAACTTGAGGCTTCGTTTTATTATGTTTCTTTTTTTATTATCTGTGTTTACCCTTATGTCTATGGTAAATAATTACTAATTGTTAAAGACTAAATAGTTATTCTAGTATCAAAAACTACCAATTAATTCTGGTCCTCCAGGAGTTGAATTAAGAACTAAATGTGGGGGTAATGGTGCCTGAAATAATGTGTTCTTAATTCAAATTAACATTTTGCTTAGTCTTCCACAGGCAGTAGATAGTAAAGCACCGGTCCAGCTATGTTCAGAGCAGTGTTTGGAAACAAGAGAGAGGGAGGAGGAAAACAAGGAGGAAAACAAGGAGGAAAAAAGAGCCAGAGACATCCAGGTAAGAAGAAAACCAAAGAATAAAACTGTGGCATGTCAGCTCAGTAATAATGCACCTTTTGTGTTTGTATCTTCGTCTTACTTTAATGGCATTTTATCACAGCTTCTATTATTTGAAATATGCCTTTTTGTCACTGTATGTACATCATGCGTTGTACACACTAGCTCTTGCATTATTTGATGGCAATATTCGGGTTCTCTTCTCTTGGGTGATTTAAGTAGATCCATTTCAATTAGCCTAATTCATCAGTGTGTTCTGTCCTTCGTGCTGTGTCCCACTGCTTGCATTTAAAGTGTGTCAGGAGAAGTTATAGTGGGTTAGGCAAACATCCTGACCTACTAAAAACATACAGAATTTCACAAGAGTTTATGAGTGGGCAACACTTGAATGAGATGAATATGCACACTTGTTATAAATGTGTTGTGTCTGCTGTAAACAAACTGGCTGTTTTGTAGTATTGTCATCGAAACGTGACCTGAAAGGTTTTTCCGCTGAAAGGAAAGGAGGGTGAACTTACCAAATTGCTGCAGTACAGAGGAGATTTCAGACTACGCAGTGGAGATAGATGAACATAAGTAGAGCTCAGTATTAGAGCATCCACGTTGCCCATTAATATTTAATAATTTGCTGCTCTGGGTAGCAAGAACAGAGAGGAAGATAGAGAACTGTGTCAGTCTCATTAAAATGATATAGTATGTTTACAGTACATTGGGATAGCTCTGATCATTTGCAGAGAGTCATCACATCGCCTCAGAAGCTTATCATGAAAGGTTTCAAAGCAATGATGCTTCTATGCTTTTAGGAATTATTCAACAATATATCATGGGAATTCTTTAATGTTAGATAGCAGACCTCTGTGTCCTTGTTTTGCTGATGGTGAAAACCGCACAAACAGACTCATTTAAGGTAGGAGGAAGTAAATGACTGAATTATACCACGGGGAAAGCTCCTGCAATCTTCTGTCACCAATGTAAGTGGCAATAAGGTCTCTGTAATCACCTGGCTTTGTGAGTTCTCATTCATAATGTTTATTTGAAGACACAGGATGGGGCTTAATGGCTGGAGTGGAGTGAAAATGATTTAAATTTTGAATTGAAATAAAGTGTAGCCTCTTTATTGAGTGTGATCCCATTCCTTTAAATAGCTGTTCTGGCATTGCCAACTTTCCATTACCTCATTCAGCAATATGCCTCCAAGACAAGATATGTTCGTTCTGTCGCAGCCTTATGTGAGACATATTTTATACAGCTCTCTCTGCGATATGTTAAATCTGCTGTACAGCCACAGTTCTGTTAAATCAACTCAGCTTTTTTAACTGTGCTGAAGCTTTCTAAATGATCCTTCCATAGACTCCCATCTTTTCCATGTACTGTAGGTGGAGAGGTGTACACTCACAGCACCTTGCAGAGGGACAGTGGCGGGCGTGCCACACACTTCCAGGACCATGACAGTGGCTACACTGAAAGCCCAGTAAAACTGATGAGACTGACCAAGGGCGTGTCCATTTCTTTGCCATCCTCCCCTCTTCTCCCTCGCCAGGCCAACGTGGTTCCCTCCCAGTCTTGCATCAAGTTCACAGGTGGGTTCAATTGAAATCGTAATAAAAACAAAGCACAGACTCAGAATGAACAGCTGAGAATGATAAGAACTTGTGCATCAGGGAATAACTGCAAAAATAGCACAACGCTTTCATGGGTTTGCCTTGATTAGCAGAGAGCTTCTGTGCGTTCAGCTGTTCCATATATGTGACAGCAAATACAAGAGCATACAGACTGTGCCCCCAGGGCCCAAAACCATGTGACAGATTGTCAGAGTAAATGATTGAACAAGATAACTTAAGGCGAGGAACCCCAATTAGGTGGGTCGATTTCTGAGATATTAGTAGAGTAATTTTGATCAAAGACAACTGATAATGACATAGAATAACAAAATAATTTGAGTCTCTGCTCAGGGTTCACTTAACACCATCTGTGCCAAATGAAACTTTAGTAGCAGGTTTAACAAAAAAACATACTGTCACATGCATCACATGTAACTGTAGGTAGTAGATGTAGCCATGCAAGTGTGCCATAATGCTTTTACCTACCCAAATAGCTGTGAATTGGCGATGTTTTGTGTCAGTCTCTGCGGTCAACTGTCGAATATAAAAAAGGCAGAAATAGAAGATATCTTCGCTAAAAAGCCCATTCTCAGTGTATGTGGTCTAGAGGTTTCAGGTTTCCACATCACATTTGTGCGTGTTGCATACTGGACCATGACTTCACAAGTCACAAATCACAAGTTGTGATGCTACAAAATCATGCTTGTACGTGCATGCCTTGAACTTTGATTAAAGACGAGCACCAAGAAACTTTTCCACTTCTAATCATTTGCGTGTATGATATTTTAGAAAGCATCTTCTACATATGTAATTATTTACATTTAGCATTTTCTACATGTACACACTACTGAATAATGAAATGATATTTGTCATATCCATGTGCACAAGTTAAAACAGTAAAGATCACAGATGTTATCTACTGTTTAAATAAGTTTTATAGCTAATGAACAAATATAGTATGTGCATGTTGAAGGGGTAATTGTAAAATGTATTTTCTTAAAAGTTAAAGTTATATTTTTAATAATGTAAACTCGTTGGTAAGGTGGTAAGAAAACAAACTCAATGTGTACCTGGAGAGGTCTCACCTTTGAAGAAGCACTAGGTGGCAGTGTCCTGCAGCAAGTACAACCATTCAGAAAAAAGTGCTCTTACATTTCATTGCATGCAGCACTGCCTTGTTTTTCCCCAGTGCACTGAACGGACATGACAAGGAAAATTACAGCAAGTAAAAATATATACTGTTAGTGGCTATGCAAAATCAAACATCAAGCTGTTTGTTACACTGCAAAGAGTGCTTCTGAATCTATCATGATTGAAATACCAAATATCCTTGAGTATACAAATTCAGTACATTTCAGTGTTCGCAAACATCTCATCCCTGTGAATGTTTTCCAGTCCTAAAGAATCTGCGCTTCCAAGAATCCTCAAATGTTGTTGCATAAATTGAGACACACCCACACACATCAATATGAGTGCACCGCTGTCCCTGCCATCTCAAATACACGCACACACACACACCCACACACACACACACATTAGCAATGTTAATATATTATAGATAAACGCCCACGGTACAGTGAATATTGTACTGTTTGCATGTGTAGCTCGCACTCTGTACATACTGCTTTATACTCCTGGGACAATTCAAATTCTGCACCACAGATCTCATCTTCTAGGGAGCTTAATCTCGTCTCTCTCTCTCTCTCTCGTCTCTCTCTCTCCTCTCACACACACACACAAACACACACACACAACTCTCTCTCTCAACTTTCCTTTCCATATTCCATCCTTATCTCCACCTCTAATCCCTCCCTCCTCCCACCCTGCCTGCCCTCCCCGCTCACCCTCCCTGCCTGCTCTCCCTCCCTCTCCCTTCTCCCGCTTTGCTGTGGCCAAAGGACGGGTAAGGAAGCTGGAGTATGTGGATGGCTCTTCCAGTGCGAGAGAACCTCCTGTCTTTGCCTCGTGCCGTGGCAAGACAGACCACAGAGGTGAGAACAGCAGCGTGTGGGCGTATGTTTAGCATCATGCTTGTTTTTCCAGGTATTGATCAAGGAGGTTGAATGAAAATGAATGGGGTAGAGGTGAGGGGAGAATGAATGGTGAGACACCAGAGAAAGTGAGTGTGTGGTTGTGTTTTAATCATATCTAAAAGGCTTTG